TATTGTGATTTATAATCTTGGTAGGGACAGCGATTTCTCTCTTGGCTATCACATCCAGACTGCCTATGGGGTACATCCAGTCAGAGGGTAGCAGGGATTTTTCCCTGTTCTTAATGTAACTGGTCATTCACCTCTGTCTGGTGTCAAGGTAAAGGTTGTATGGAACTATACCTTCTCTTCCCCTCTGCGTCTTCATGGCATGGTGCTGAATTGAATACAGTGAACTTTTCATTTTTACAAAGACAATTAAGAAAGAAATGGTTTCGTTGAAGCGAGCGTAATCAGGAAACATAAATGTTGTGGTCACAGTCCCAAACATTGGATATTTCCTGAATAGTTAATCACATGTCTCAAGAACAATAAAGTAACAGAATGAAGCCAGAGCTCAGATTTGTGGGAGCAGTTTGATGTGTGTGTAATTATTTTGTGGGACTGTGAGACCAAAAACCATGGTGTGGAATTTCTAAGCAACACCTTTCTGAAGAAATTGTGTCAGCATGTTGATAAAAATTACATGTCTGTATCAAGAGCAATCCTTTTATATATATNAATATATATATATATATATATATATATATAGACATACACACACATGCGCGCGCGCGCATGCATGCACACATGCACGCTCACACACATGTTTTTTCCCTTTATATCAGAGTATATTTGAAGGTGTCATTCCAGTTTAGAAGTCTGGAAGTCTGTTTTAGGTGTTATTTTTTTTTAATCTGAGCAGTAAGGTGAGAAAAGGTATAGTAAAGTTGTCCCTTTGTTTTATTAATTAAGCGCCACACCATGATGATGTGTGGGGGGTGAAGACTTAGCTCCAATATTCAGCACAAGATTGAGGTGAGTGATCACCTTCAGGCCCCAGCCACTGAACCCCTGCAGAAAGAGTCCATATTACCTGTTGGATGGGAGGCTGATGATTTAAATTAAAAACTATTTTGATTAGCAGAAATGTAGAACTATCTTCATTACCACTTCACAGCAATTGATAACATTATAGCATGGTTTTGGTCCACAGAATTGTACTTAAAGATTCCGTGCCTCACTAGTGAGAAGTTACATTGTATTGGTCGTGATTTCGACTAATTGTAGGAAGTAATCATTATGTCATGCTTGATACTTATAAATTGCACCACAAGTATACTTCACTTTACTGGATTATATCTTGGTTGTAGAGTAAGCAGGTTTGACTTACATTCTTTCCGTTAGAACCACATTCAAGGCGAAAAGTATGTTACCCTGTCCCATGTCGGATGAGAAATGAAGCAGCATGCTGTGCTATTGGACCAAAAGTGACACTGCAACATAAAAGTTTATTTTCCATTCTAAGTAAAGAAATGTCATCATTTAAGTACTGAAAATATAATATATTCTTCCATCTATTACAGATCAAGTATCACCACCCAAGAGGCTTCGTGGAGGAGTTATATTTATTGATTCCATTCCAAAGACACCTAGTGGAAAGATCTTGCGGAGGGATCTGAAGAAACTGATAAAATCAAATATGTGATAGCTACTGACATCACATGTTTATTGATTTAACAAATAATATAAAATAATGTAGTGTGTTTCAGTTCCAGGAGAAATATTCCTATGATTTCATAACCAGAGTAAAGTTATAATAGCTGAAAGTAATGACAAATTAATAAGAAGAAGAGTTCTATCTTCTGGGGTATAACACCATGTAGTCCTTTGAAACTTCACTGACGTTTCAGAGGAATATTCCACCCCATCTTTCCCATCTTCATGGTCAAAGAATAAGCCAAGCAGCAAGAAACCAACATGAAGCTTCATGCTTGGCTTATTCTCTGTCCCTGAAGATGTAGGTGATATGGTCACCTGAAACATCAGTTGACATTCATTGGACTGCATAGCTATATGTCAGAATTCTCTGCACTTTTTTAACTTCAGTTTGTGCGAGAAGTCTTAATACTTTTCTTCTTATGCACATACTGTATGCCTTGAAGCCTGTTCCAAGGTTTAGAAGTTTGGTCTTTTTGTCTGTAGTTCCAAGTCTTCATATAGATATCTTTACCTCTGGCAGCATGTATGTGTCATACATTTCAGGTGTTAAATCTTTTCATATTCTGTTTTAATATGCAGTTTCATCATAGTTCAGCTAAGTGGCTCAGACATGCATATATGCTTAGGTAGGCATCTGGACTGGATTGTAATTGGTTAAGAAATTACTTGCAATGTACTTTCTCACTGTACATTATATTTTGATATTGGTTTCTGTTATAATGATATAATAAAACCACGTTAAATCCTTGTTAAAGTGTTTGCACTTAGGAGTTTTGTTCTCTGCTGGGTTCCCATTGTCATATGCAAGAATATAATTATTTTCCTTCATAGGAAGGTGTCAAGTTAAAAAGGTTTTGGCTTACAGTGGTTCAAAATTATGGCCTCTGCACCACTTTCTAAATGACTATTCAATTTGATATGTGAATTAGTACATTTATCTGTGGCAGTAATTAGATGTAGCCCTTAACTGTAGAATTCTGGTATGATGATTGAAATGAGAGAGTTTGTGGTGTGATAAATTGCATATAATTCATGTCAAAATAAATAGTAGACAGCATGGTGATATTAATGTGCTCAATAAGTGAATAGATTTTGCTGACTTGTAAACCTTGTATGCTGATTAGAAGGTGATAGTTCTGTTAAATAATTTTTTTAAACAGCTGTATGAGGTGGTGTTTTAATAAGTGTAACAATAAATGTGTTTGTGTTTTTTTTTTGAAGGGGGGGAAGTGACTTAAATTATTATGACACAGTTTGGCTGTAATAGTAACTATTTTAATTAGCAAATAGGGGTTGAATCTCAAGCTCTACCTCTGTATCTAAACCCTGATCATTTATGTGAAATGTAGGATGCAATCTACAGTTCAAACACAATGAATGATAACATCGTCAAGAAAATTAAATTTTAAATCATATCCGCCTATTTTTGCTTCAGACAGCCAAGAATGGGTGTACTGTCATGAATAAAATCATTGTTTGGTGGATATGTATGTAAAATGACACAAACTTTCAGTGAGTTTGTTTGCAGACTGGCTCTGGGGCCACCCAGCCTCCTATCCAATGGTACTGGGTACTCTTTCCACGGGGGTAAACCAGCTGGGGCATGAAGCTGACCACTCATCTCCAACTAGTGCCGAGGTCAGGAAGAAGTGGATCTATACATCCACTCCCCTATACGTCATCATGGCGTAGTGCTTAATTAGTTAAGCATAGGGACGACTTTACCTTTGTTACCCTATACAAGCAGGACAGGGCACTGGGTTCCATAAATTGGCTTGAAGTCGACTATGGTGCCATTAGATATTTATCAGTTAAAAAAAATTGCAAAGGTTTTGGTATATAATAAACACTGAATCTAGCAAAGATACCCAAAATGGGATTCGAATTAAAATTGGAAAGAAAGTAACACGGGTGATGAACAAGAACAATATGCGTCAGCCAGTTACTGAAAAACGAAATGAGTAGTGGGAAGATTTAGGAGACTGGAGAATTTTTGCCTGTTGATTGTATCACGTGGAAATTGTGCTAAAAGTATATTATGAATTTTCCGCTTTCGGTAACTAAACTTTGTGGGTATGTAATTATTATTACGTTCTACGTTTCCTATATTATCGTGAATATAGCCTTTGCTGTGTGCTTTGACTATGAAGATCATATGAAGAGAGACCGTTGTAAAGTAACCTTGACACAGATAATAGTAGCACGGATTACTAATTGTAGAGTAGTGTTCTGTGGCAATGGGAATTGCGAAATTTGATTGGTTGCGGTAGTTCTGGTCACAAAATTCGTGGCGTGGTAGTCGTAGTAATCGGTAGTAACTATGGGAAAGGTACACGGTGTTTATTTTGTGACACGCCGTTGAAGGGGTATGTAATGTCTACTGAGCAGGTTAATTCTATTTATGGAAATTGCGTGAATGAATACAGCAGATGTCCTTAGAGATAAGTAGCTTTCTGTGTACACATCATGCAACATGTGTAAGTGGTATAATATCAATTTTTCATTTTACGTCGTTTTATTTTTTGTTTAATGCAAACTGTATCAGAAAACATGGCGGCATGAGGAAAGGAATGTTTAATAAATTTATACGGGCACATAAATTGTTTCTAGGCTACTTCCGTATGTTGTAAACCTCACCCGTTGAACCTAGGTCTGAGATAGAACTTCAGGCTATACAGTAGTCGGTTCCATATTCTTTCAAGTAATTTAGTAAACTTTTCATTTGACACTACATAGTCTGAACTATTGACAGCATCATTAAATAAGCAGTAAATAAACAAATATCACCTGAAGACCAATCCGTATTGCCATATCAGAAGTTTCGTACTGTTCGTGTATTTAGAATTTGTGTTCAATTCTTCTCACAGCAGCATTCAGTTACTTGGTTCATGTCTTGAGGTTCAGATATTGTATTTTTTGAAGCATGGTAGTAATGTTTAACAGAATTAAATAACTTTTCTGAAGTTACTGACAGACTATATTAGGCCAAATGTGACAACTGTGATTTATAAGTGTGGCTAATGCCATAACCGGATATGACCTCACAATTGAGTATTTTTGTTACAATGACATGCTGCAACTCATGACACCATGCTGTTAAGTAAATTTAGCACATTAGGAAACATTCGACAGAAACGACGGTAGAAGCACAGCATTCGGGCCTTTACAAAGTGCTATATTCATGCTGTTCATGATGTCTGACATGGTCGTATAGTGCGAGGTGTAATCGTATAATATTCGACATGCCATTATGTTCTGTTATATTGGGGTGGTGGGAGCGGTAGATGGATTGTGAAATTTTAAAGTTTAGTTCAAGGCCGTTTTACCCATATCGCATTCAGAGCTATCAAATAGTGCATTAGAAGAATCCCTCTACTCTATGTATGTAGACATTCAGAAATGCATTTTTTTAATTGTAAAAAAAAAAGAGGCCTAGGCAGGGCCCATCCGGCATCAGAAATGCATCGAGAAATGCGTATAGCAGTAGTTTCTATCGACCAAAATGGGTACCATCGTAGAGTACATGCGTACGTTGAGAAAGCATAGTGAACGTAGTACGCCGTGGTTTGACTGTAGGGTACTTCAAGTTCTTCAAGATGTCGTCTTACTTGGTTGTGTTAGTGTGATGTTAAAATGTGCAATGTTTTAGTGTGAAATAATGTATCTAAACGAGAATGGATGATAATTATGGGTTCAAAATTTTTTTCTTTCCTCGGGATATAGGGAGCCCACGTTTCCGAATGTGGAAGTCGTGTTTTGTATCTTTTTATGTTTAAAGTACGAAGGTGCTTGAATGTTAACGGGATTTGTTACAGTAAACAAGCCAAAGTATGTATTTTTTCAGATTGTGGCAAAAATTATTAAAACTAATAGTGGGATTGATTATAAAATTTTCGCGGAGTTTTTTTATTGTTTTGGTTAAGGAGCTGTTAATTTTTATTTTTCTGTAAAACTTTTGATGGGGATTCATTGGGACATGTGCAGACTTATTTTACAGGAAATATCCCTTGAGATTCTTATTCTACTCGTGAAGGATGTTCGACCACTATATTGCTGTCGTGTAGTAGACTTTTTAGCCGTAGCACATCTGTCAGAAGTGATGACTTGCCCCCAAAATTTAACGAATTTCAGTTCCCTTTGTGTTGTAGTTGTACCATGGTAGTTAACGAGTAGTGAATATTTTTTTTGTGTCACCATTGTATGTATGTCACAACTTTTTAGCTTGTAAATAATTGTAAAGTTGCTGTTTTGGGCCCTTATTCCAGTTTATACACAGAATTCTGTAAGCGTTTATCACTATTTGAAGTTGTGAATGAATGGAAGCCCCAACAAAAATGAGTGACCGTTCATTTGAAAACTATTTCCCACAGTTTGGTGGGAGGATATTTCTGTGATCAGTAGGGACTGGGATATTATGTACCAATAATCCCTTAAATATGTATGCATTTATGCATGAAAACTTCCAAAACATGCACATAAAATGTTATGCCAAATATTAAAATTGGTTTTACATTATTCTAAGACCAACATATTTTATGTAAAAACTGAGTGATTCACTTGCAATGAAAAGCTATATTTAAATACAAATCATGCAACAAAGCCAACATTTTTCATTACTTGCTCATAGAGCTGAGCCCTTCTTGAGGAGCCGCCAATTCTGCAACTAATCAAGAATTTCCCAGCATTTTATGGAACCAAAAACTTCTTTACTGTGTTCACAAGAAACCTCCACTGGTCCGTATCCTGAGCCAGATCAATCAATTCCATACCATCCATTCCTATCTCTTGAAGATCCATTTTAATATTGTCCACCCACCTATGCCTTGGTCCTCCCAGTGGTCTCTTTCCTTCTGGCTTTCCCACCAATATTCTGTTTGCATTCCTTTTCTCCCACATTCGTGCTACATGCCCTTCCCACCTCATCCTTCTTGACTTGATCATTCTAATAATACTTAAAAGAGTACAAGTTATGAAGCTCCTCATTATGCAGTTTTCTCCAGTATTCTATCATTTCATCTCTCTTTGGTACATATATTCTTCTCAGTACCCTGTTTTCAAACACCCTCAGTCTATGTTCCTCCCTTAATGTCAGAGACCAAGATTCACACCCATACATAACCACCGGCAAAATTACAGTTTTGTATATTCTAATTATTATGTTTTTGTACAGCAGAGGAGGAGACAAATGGTTCTGGACTGA